ACCCGACGCGGCCACGCCATGCGAGCAAACGTGGAGGTTTCACTCCCGCTTGGACAGCACCGTGGTCGGTGGTGATGTTGTAGAAGAGCGATCCACACGACATTTAACAAATGGGTACGAACGTTCCGCGGGTAGTTCCGAATCAGAGTCAGAATATTTATTTATACTGGAGGAATCCGATGAGCTATTAAGATCTTTTTCACGGATGTCCAGTAAAGGCACGGGGTCAGATTGTTACAACACCAAACAATACAAAACCATGACAGAAGTGCAAAGTATAGGGAAGGGAAGCCAATCACATAAAATAAAACCAAAATATGTTTTTCATGTGCGTGCAGTATATATCTTACCAGGTAAAACCCACTGAGCGAAAAGCTTCTTTTTCAGAAGCGACTTGGTCACATGTGATAGTTGAGCGAAATGGCTTATCATGTGAAAATGTATAGCAGTCAGCATCATCACCATCATCGGGCGGTTGCCAGAATTGTGAAATCTTCTCCAGTCTTAGGCCGGAAATAGTTGGTGTGATTACCATAAACGTGCCCCCACCTCACGTGAGTCTGGGTTGCAGAGATAAAAAAAAACAACTTGGTGATGTCAGGTGGAAGAGGGCGTACAACACACATTGGCATTTTACTCACAACGACCTGATCCAAAAGTCTATTCTGGACCTTGATATCGGTTGTGAAAGTTTGACATTAAGTTTTCAATCCTTTATACTCCTCAGCCCCGTAGCCTTGAAGGGGAAGTTGGGGGGGGGGGTGCTGGAGGGGGCTGACCAACAACCCCACTTCTGCTGTAAGCTCAGCCCCCCCCCCACCCCATTTAAATTCTCATAGTCAAGAAAAAAATGTTGGTACAATGTTTCACAGAATTTATCTTCCGCCTTAATTTCACTCGCGGGTTGGGTGAGAGCAAGAGCAGAATTCACGACAGACAAGGCAGACGATGATAGCGCGAGTCATTCTGTTTCATTAAAGTTTAACATTTACTGCGTTGCAGTTAATGTAATGCCGCTCCTGGCCCGATTGCCCCTGACGATTTAATACAATTTTGCATTTTTTGTCCCAGGTTACTCACGAGGGTTCGGAGTAAAGGGCAGAGTTGTGGGTGGGGCCACCTGAGTAGGGGGGCGGCACTACCTGAGTAGTGGGTGGAGCAACCTGAGTAGGGGGTGGCGCTATATGAGTATTGGGCGGCGCTACTCCAGTAGTGGGTGGAGCCACCTGAGTAGGGGGGCGGCGTTACCTGAGTAGTGGGCGGAACTACCTGAGGCCATAAGTGGAGCCACCTGAGTAGGGGAGTGGTGCTACTTTAGTGGCCGGAGCTACTAGGGTAGTGAGTGGGGCTACCTGAATAGTGGGTGGGGCCACCTGAATAGTGGGTGGGGATAAATGTATAGTGAGTGAAGCCACTTGAGTCGTGTATATCTAAATTATGATCGCATCTCCTATCTCATATCTCATGCATCGCTTTCCTGCGTAACCACATCAATCCCTTGAAACGATGTCTCTTCTTCTCCAGCTCGACGTCTGTAGTGGAGGAGGAGGTGGAGGAGGTGGTGGAGGAGGAGCAGGAGGGCGTGCACGAAGGCGAAGATTCCGGCACCACCTCTGCTTCCGCCGCCGACCAAGGCTGCGGCGCCAGGCCGCTGCACCTCCCGAAGTCCTTCATCACCGACATCTTCAGATTCCTAGCGTCGACGTCACGCCCCGGCAACACGTGCGGTCGCCCCGGCAGCTGCGGCGCCGCCGACCGGCCCCTGGCGCTGCCGCGGCCGCCATGCGCCAAACAGGACTCGTGGAGTGACGGCGCGATGGAGGCCAGCCTGCGCACCCGGGAGGCCTTTGCGTTCGCGGTGCCCAGCGCCATCATCGCTGCGGCGCCATTGCCGGACGAAGAGGAGGAGGTGGTGGTGGAACAGAAGGCTGCGTCGCCGACGGCAGCGCCGAGATGCGGAGGGGAGAGCTCGGCAAATTGCTCTCGAGCGAACGCAAGGAGACGGAGGGATGGACCCGATGACGAGGAGGAGGCGGTGGCGGAGGGATATCAAGCAAAAGAGTTGGAGGAAGAGGAGGAGGAGAAGGTGATGGTTGCTAAATTACGCCGTGCCGTGGAGCAGTGGGCAACGGAAGGGAGCGAAGGGAGTACGGGTGCCGCGGTTGAGAGTGATGGTTCGAGCATTTCCCGCGATGACGGTGGACGTGGAGGAGAAACGGTCGCAGGAGGACGAGGTTCTCGAGGAGGCGACGGAGGCAGAGAACGCAGAGGAAGGGGAAGTAGAGGAGCAGGAGGAGCGCGCAGAAGCCACGACCCCTTGTGGGAGGTCGTGCGGAGCCTGCGCGAGAGGCGCGGGGCCCCGCCGGGAGCGGAGTGGCCGTCCGGCCTCGAGGGGCTCATGGACCGCACGCTGGTGCTGCTGCTCAAACAGCTCATCGACACGCCGCCCATGAAGGACCCGGCCAGTGGCGCCGCGCACTTTGGCAGGCTGCTCAGGCACTACCTGAGCCGGGACGACGCAGCGCCCCTCGCGCCCGCCGCTCGCCGCGACGACCCGAGGGCCCGGACTCGGAGGGCCCGGCACCCCCGGTGGCAGGCGGCTCTCCGCGCGGAGGAGGAGGACAAGGAGGAGGAGGATGCTGTTGCTGCCGCCGTCACGCCGGGCGGCCAAACACACGGCAAGATCACCAAGTTCCTGGTGCTCAAGGCAATGCAGGCGGTGTGCGAGCAGTGGTCGAGGAAGAAGCCTCGCAGCGTCGAGGCGGTGAGCATCGGCGGGCCGTGCAGGTGCGAAAATCACTGCCCGTCGTCGAAGAACGACACCAAGAGCGATGGCAGCGGCAAGGCCAAAGGTCAGAGCAGCGGCGCATTCAGCCTGTGCGCGGGCTGCAAGCTGGAAGACGTGAACATGTGCCTGTGCATGTTGTACAAGCAGCACGTGGTGGAGCCTAAGCTCGCCAACATCCACGACTGCTCTGGGCAGTGCCTATCGACGTCCGGCTGCTTCGACCTCTACGTGAACCACAGCTACGTTCTGCTGAAGCAGGAAAGACGCCAGCCCCTGTGCGTGCCCGTCCACTACACGGGCCTCAAGATGCTCGTCATCGACAACGGCAACAGCACGAGCGGCGGGAACGATCGCACAAACTTGAGCGCCCACATCATCTTTTACAAACAAATTATCGCAAACGAGTGCGGGTGCAGATAGTAGGACGGACGGGGCTCGCGATGATGACTTAGTACTTGTTGGCAATCACAGAGGTCAGACGTTTCTTGTAGTTGGCCACCAGGTTTGCACACATCTCAGGAGGGATTTTGTCCCACTCCTCTTTGCAGATCTTCTCCAAGTCATTAAGGTTTCGAGGCTGACGTTTGGCAACTCGAACCTTCAGCTTCCTCCACAGATTTTCTATGGGATTAAGGTCTGGAGACTGGCTAGGCCACTCCAGGACCTTAATGTTCTTCTTCTTGAGCCACTCCTTTGTTGCCTTGGCCGTGTGTTTTGGGTCATTGTCATGCTGGAATACCCATCCACGACTCATTTTCAATGCCCTGGCTGAGGGAACGAGGTTCTCACCTAAGATTTGACGGTACATGGCCTCGTCCATCGTCCCTTTGATGCGGTGAAGTTTTCCTGTCCCCTTAGCAGAAAAACACCCCTAAAGCATTATGTTTCCACCTCCATGTTTGACGGTGGGGATGGTGTTCTTGGGGTCATAGGCAGTATTCCTCCTCCTCCAAACGCGGCGAGTTGAGTTGATGCCAAAGAGCTCCATTTTGGTCTCATCTGACCACAACACTTTCACCCAGTTGTCCTCTGAATCACTCAGATGTTCATTGGCAAGCTTTAGACGGGCATGTATATGTGCTTTCTTGAGCAGGGGGACCTTGCGGGCGCTGCAGGATTTCAGTCCTTCACGGCATAGTGTTACCAACTGATTTCTTGGTGACTATGGTCCCAGCTGCCTTGAGATCATTGACAAAATCCTCCCGTGTAGTTCTGGGCTGATTCCTCACCGTTCTCATGATCATTGCAACTCCACGAGGTGAGATCTTGCATGGAGCCCCAGGCCAAGGGAGATTGACAGTTCTTTTGTGTTTCTTCCATTTGCGAATAATCGCACCAACTGTTGTCACCTTCTCACCAAGCTGCTTGGTGATGGTCTTGTACACCATTCCAGCCTTGTGTAGGTCTACAATCTTGTCCCTGACATCCTTGGAGAGCTCTTTGGTCTTGGCCATAGTGGAGAGTTTGGAATCTGATTGATTGATTGCTTCTGTGAACAGGTGTCTTTTATACAGGTAACAAGCTGAGATTAGGAGCACTCGCTTTAAGAGTATGCTCCTAATCTCAGCTCGTTACCAGTATAAAAGACACCTGGGAGCCAGAAATCTTTCTGATTGAGAGGGGGTCAAATACTTATTTCCCTCATTAAAATGCAAATCAATTTATAACATTTTTGACATGCGTTTTTCTGGATTTTGTTGTTGTTATTCTGTCTCTCACTGTTCAAATAAACCTACCATTAAAATTATAGACTGATCATTTCTTTGTCAGTGGGCAAACGTACAAAATCAGCAGGGGATCAAATACTTGTTTCCCTCACTGTACATCTGCAGAACGTGAAGAACCAGTGGCATCTACATCTGCAGAACGTGAAGAACCAGTGGCATCTACATCTGCAGAACGTGAAGAACCAGTGACATCTACATCTGCAGAACGTGAAGAACCAGTGGCATCTACATCTGCAGAACGTGAAGAACCAGTGGCATCTACATCTGCAGAACATGAAGAACCAGTGGCATCTACGTCTACAAGAGATTATACAACCTTTAAAGCCATTCCCCGTGTTTAGCGTACATGCCGTACAACATGTTTGGAATCGACTTACGAACAAATCGACTTACGAACAGACCTCGGGAACTTATAACTCGTTCGTGAGTAGAGGCGTCCCTGTATATTTGTGATAAATTCTTAGGATTCCGATAACGTTTCTTACCTAGAGACGGTGGTGCTATCTGTAAGACGCTTGGCGGGAAAGGGCGATAAGGTCACGAGGTGTCGTCGATTTACCTCCAAGGCACCTCGCTCCAGGTAGCAGAGCTGTCGTAGCACAGGCGTCCGACGTTCAAGGATCTCACCCTCTTACAGTATCACCAAAGATCACTCTTCCCCTCCCCCCTCCACCCCCTCCGTTAAGCCTTAACAGACAGTTGGGGGAAGTGCTGCGTTAGTAAGCAGCAGCAGCACCGATGAATGTGGGGAATGGCACCCACGCCCGGCCGCCTTTGTCTCCCCCCCTCCCCCCCCAGTGGCGATGTTTATATGCACACCACATGAGGTTACAGCACAGGGTGGACCAGATGTCTTGTGCACCCCCCCCCCACCTCCAATTAATTGAATCCAAACATTTTTTTCCATTTTGCATATTCATTGATGTCTAAAAGAAACATATTTTGTTGTTCAACAAAATATTCTTAAGTTTTAATGGGGATGGGGGGTGCTGGTGGGTGGGGTAGGGGGGCCACCCTGTGTAGTACAGCGCCGTCATCAATTGAGGCCGAGTCAACCTAGAGGGGAGGCCACGGGCACCGGTTGATGACGGTGGCCCCGTTGGTGGGTAATCGAAATTCACCACAACCATCACCACCGTGACCAATGACAACTTACTAGCTATCTAACTAGATATCTAACTAGATAACTATCTAACTAGCTATCTAACTAGATATCTAACTAGTGATCTATCTAACTAGCGATCTATCTAACTAGATATCTAACTATCTATCTAACTAGATATCTAACTAGATATCTAACTAGTGATCTATCTAACTAGCTATCTAACTAGCTAACTAGATATCTAACTAGATATCTAACTAGTGATCTATCTAACTAGTTATCTATCTAACTAAATATCTAACTAGCGATCTATCTAACTAGTTATCTAACTAGATATCTAACTAGCTAACTATCTAACTAGATATCTAACTAACTAGCTAGACATCTAACTAGATATCTAACTAGCGATGTATCTAATTAGCTATCTAACTAGATATCTAACTATCTAACTGGATATCTAACTAACTAGAGATCTAACTAACTAGATATCTAACTAACTAGATATCTAACTAGCTAACAAGATATCTAACTAACTAGATATCTAACTATCTAACTAGATATCTAACTAACTAGATATCTAACTAGCTAACAATATATCTAACTAACTAGATATCTAACTAGCTAACTAGATATCTAACTAACTAGATATCTAACTAGCTAACTACATATGTAACTAACTAGATATCTAACTAGCTATCTAACTAGCTAACTAGATATCTAACTAGTTATTCCAACTAGCTAACTATCTAACTAACCAGCTACCTAACTAACTACCTAACTAGATATCTAACTAGCTAACTAGATATCTAGATATCTAACTAATTAGCTAACTAACGAGCTCCCCACGAGGGCTTAAGCCCCAAGGTCTTTGACTGTTGACCGCTAGCATTCGCCTGGGAACGGAACGAACCACAGAGAGGAGAGACTGGTGCAGGAAACGCTGTCAACAACAACAACAGACGGTCGTTCATGTTAAGCGAGAGGTCGATTCAGAGAGACGGGTGCAGGAAACGCTGTCAACAACAACAATCAACAACAGACGGCCGTTCATGTTAAGAGAGAGGTCGATTCAGAGAGATGGGTGCAGGAAACGTTGACGTCAACAACAAACAACAACAATCAACAATAACAACAGACGGCCGTCCATGTTAAGCGAGAGGTCGATTCAGAGAGACGGGTGCAGGAAACGTTGGCGTCAACAACAACAACCAACAACAATAACAGATGGCTGTCCATGTTAAGCGAGATAGGTCGTGGCTGCAGGAGGGAGGGAGAGGAAGTGGAAACGGGGACGGAGGGAGGAAACGAAGGAACACCACCATCATCACCATCAAACAAAAATTTGTTGTTGTCGTTGTTGGAAAGAGTTGCGCGTACCTCCTCGCCATGTTGACGGGGGTAGGGGATTGTCACACACACACGGGGCTGGCGTGAAGACGCGGGGTGTGTGTGTGTGTTGGGTGGAGGTATGTGTGTGTGTGTGGGTGATGGGTGTGTGTGTGTTGGGGGGGTGTGTGTGTTGAGTGTGTGTGTTGGGTGTGTGATGGGTGTGTGTGTGTTGGGTGTGTGTGTTGGGTGTGTGATGGGTGTGTGTGTGTTAGGTGTGTGTGTGTGTTGGGGGTGTGTGTGTTGGGGGTGTGTGATGGGTGTGTGTGTGCATTGGGGGTGTGATGTGTGTGGCGGGTGTGTGTGTGTGTTGGGGAGGGGGGCAGAGGGGGCCCTTTGAGAAGCTCTCATCTCGCATGCCCTGGTCCGCTTCTTACACCCGCTGGAGAGACACCGAGACAGAGAGAGACACGCAGAGATAGAGAGACACAGAGACACAAACAGAGACACACACACAGAGACAGAGAGAGATATAGAGACAGAGACACACACACAGAGACACACACATAGACAGAGAGACAGAGGATATCAAAGAAGAGGCGCTGTTACAGCACAGTTACAATAAACCCACCGACTGTCACTTCCCCGCCTCCCGATAACTCGGAAAAGAAATCCTTTGCCCCGGTTCTACTCTTGGTTGTTACCCCAACGCAGCCCGCTAGGCGGAGAACACGAGGCACAAGACAAAGATCCCCCGTGTAGCCTTCACAGGCTGCTGGGGGCAAGTGCTGTTCAGCGAGTCAGCAACCTGTGAAGGCTGGCGGGACTGTGGCACTTTTGGCTCGTTAAAGAAAGTTCATTGCGGGCTCGTGAAATATCCAGAGGGTTTTTTTTTGTTTACCGAATTGAAAAAGGGGGGGGGGGGGGGGGGAATGTCTCGTTTTGTTATTTTGGTTGCCGACCCCTTGATCGTGGAAGTCCAGTTTACCATGGAAGTCCAGTTTAGCACGGAAGTTAAGTTCACCATGGAAGTTCAGTTTACAATGGAAGTCCAGTTTACCATATAAGTCAAGTTTACCATGGGAGTCCAGTTCACCATGGGAGTCCAGTTTACTATGGAAGTCCAGTTTACCATGGAAGTCCAGTTTACCATGGAAGTACAGTTTAGCACGGAAGTTAAGTTCACCATGGAAATTCAGTTTACAATGGAAGTCCAGTTTACCATATAAGTCAAGTTTACCATGGGAGTCCAGTTCACCATGGGAGTCCAGTTTACCATGGGAGTCCAGTTTACTATGGAAGTACAGTTTACCATGGAAGTACAGTTTACCATAGAAGTCAAGTTTACCATGGGAGTCCAGTTCACCATGGGAGTCCAGTTTACCATGGGAGTCCAGTTTACTATGGAAGTACAGTTTACCATGGAAGTCCAGTTTACCATATAAGTCAAGTTTACCATGGGAGTCCAGTTCACCATGGGAGTCCAGTTTACCATGGGAGTCCAGTTTACTATGGAAGTACAGTTTACGATGGAAGTCCAGTTTACCATAGAAGTCAAGTTTACCATGGGAGTCAAGTTCACCATGGGAGTTCAGTTTACCATGAGCAGGGGTCGGCCACCTGCATCTCCAGAGCTTCATGCTGGCTCTTTGGCTTCACCCTTGCAACTCTTTGGTTGCCCGCAGTTAAAAAAAGAAAACGTAAAACCTAAATAATAATTTTACGTAAAGCTGATTGATTAAATATGGTAGAGAATGGGGTTACTATGGAATGGATGTCTTGGTGACAACATGTACAGTGCAGTCAAACTGTATTGTTAAAGAATAATTAATGGGGGGGGGAACCCTAACTTGACGTAGTTTATTCCATCACCTATTTCGTTTGAGTCAGAATGTATTTGTCATCTTCTGTCTGCACGCTGCTGTGTGGTGTGGACACGTGGCTATGCGTGCGATGCGCCTCTCGAACTAATTTGGTCAAAGACAAAAACAAGAACAATGGCCCTGCTTTTTCTTTGAAAGGTTGTCGACCCCTGATCATGGGCAGCATCCAATATAGGCAGCATCCACCAAATGGCAGTGTCCACCATGGGCATGAAGGATGCTTAGCGCAAATGCTCTCTGTTTTCAAGACACTCTTCCTATTTAACCTCGCATACCGTAGAAGTTCAACATCACAATCTAGATTTTAAGTTTTCGTGACTGCAGCGATCCATACTCTGTGGTTCTTTCGGTAAAGTCACGTAGGTATGAAACAAATGAAATCACGTTTCGGGCGCAACACAAGCGTCCGTCATCAGGAGGGACAACCACAGCAAGAAACAATTGCTGAAGTGGGCAAAAGGGCTGTTGTAACAAGAGGCTATATAGGTAAGAGAGGGGGGAGGAGCCAGGGAGGAGAGAGAGGGGGTGTGGGGTAGGGAGAAAAGGGCGAGTACGGCAAACATACATAGCAGGCGTTACCAAAACAATTGCCAAAATCTTAAACACAAGATCGAGGTCCGATTCAGTACAGTGCACAAAATCCGTGATCTAATCCCATCTGTGAAGGATGTCATTCCTGACTTGCAATACCCTGGAGTCTACAAACTAAGTTGCATCTGTGGTGATTTTTACATTGTGGAAACGAAACGTCATGTCTCTGACCGTATCTGCGAGCACAAGTCAGATCTGAAACACGGCAGAACTAATTCCTCCGCCGTTGCTGATCATTGCTATAACGCTGTGGGCTCTCATGATATCGTTTACTTCGAGACCAAGGTGCTCTGCAAGCCGTCTGGCTACCATCAAAGATTTGTTCATGAAGCCATCCAGATATATACACATAGACATAACTTCAACCGAGAGGATGGATACAAATTGAGTAATCATTGTGAAAGATGTTATTAACCAAGTAAAATGTAACCGTTCGTAGTTGTTCCATCTTATTTACCGGATACTAGTCTATTTTTTTACCGAGTTAATTGCATCCTCAGCGTTCAGCAGTGCGGCTATTTTGTTTTGAGCATTATCATCTGTTTTGGCCGCAATCGTTTTGTTGCTTTGCTCCCGCCCCCCCTGCCCAGTCCCACGTCCCAGCCCCTAGCGCACACGCAACGCTCCCCCTCCCCTTATTCCCCCCCCTCACCGCCCTCTCTGACTTATATAAACGCCTTAATTCCGGCATCTCTCCCGCTTCGGTAAAATTTTTCTTGTTGTGGTTGTCCACCTGATGATGATTGCTTGTGTTGCAATCGAAACGTCGAGATTTATTTATTTTCACCTACGTGACTTTACCGAAAGAACCAAAGAGTATGGATCCTTGCAGTCACGAAAACTTCAAATCTAGAATGTATTTTAATGATTTTATAGATGAGAAAAAATATATAATCGACTTAAAACTTATTATTATATTCAAACTACCTAATTATATTTGTTCACATCGTACAAAGGCGTGCATTGCATACGTACCCTCATATCATCGGTATACTTAAACTATTATGATTAAGCGAGTTAGATACCGTGTATGCGCAATTGTATTAAAACTATTCACTAGTGTCTGAATATCCTAATAAACACGCAAAACTATCCCGTAGCTTGAAATATTATTGCACATTGTGATATGGCAACTACAATATACAAATGTGCGACGTAGTTTTCTCAATCCACTGCTGGATGAAGGGCTCCCATGCCATGCATGTTGTGTTGTGTTTGACCATACTTCGAAAGCTGTGAAAAATTGTAATAGCAAGTGTGGTGCTCCGGTGGCGAGATGTTAACTACATCACCTGGTATACAGGAGGTCGTGGATTCAATCTAGACTCTGACGCTTGCTGTATATTTGGAGTTTGCGTGTCTCTCTCTCTCTCCGTGATCGCGTGGATTTTTCTCTGGGTCCTCCGGTTTTTCCCTCCACATTTAGAATCAACATCACGCGTTTTGGAGCATTTGGCTGCTATATTTTTCCACGTAATGAAAAGCCACTTCGTTGAGCTATCATTTGTGATAGGCCGCTTCTGAAAAAAAAATATATAGCTCAGTGGGACTTACCTGGTAAAATAAAAAAAAAAAGTTGAGTTTTATGGTTTATGATATCCCAGTGCTTCCAATTACTAAGCTTTACCAAGTCTGATTCTTTTATTTAATAACAGTGCCAATGTGTGTTGTTTCTTTCGTGAGCATGCATTGTCTTGGGCAACTTGAATCATGAACCCCCCCATCCCCTGCTCACCACCACCAAAGTCTGGACAAATCAGAATAAGCAGGGAGCAAAAGCCAACCGGGAAAACTGCGCGAGCGAGGCCGCTTTGATCCATTAACGCAAACCCAGAGGAGCCGATTTAAAAATTCACGGGGCCTTGTTCCTGTAATTCACCGTCTGTTAATGTACACCATCCTCTTCACGCGGGTAATTGGTTCCACGGAACCGGTCGTTAAGTTAGTTGGTCGTCAAGCGAGTACCTGTATAGATGTTTCCACTTCAAATGCGCGACACACTGAATGTAAACGATGCCACACACACTTCACTATACACTATATACTACACTACACATTGTGCTCTATGGAGGCCCGTCGTTAAGCGATTGGTCATGAACAGCGGTGGTCGTTAAGAGGGATTCTACTCTACAATACTATACACTACACTATACACAACACACATCATAGGGCTCTGATAAGGGGTATGTTGGATAAGGGGTTGACAAATATGGTCACGACTTTATGTACGTATGTATGTTGAAATTAAAGTACATATGTATGTTGAACTTCGTGTATCTATGCTGAAATTCATATACGTATGTGGAACTTCATGTATATTGAGCTTCATGTATCTATGTTCAAATGCATATACATATGTTGAACTTCAAGTACGTATGTATGTTGAACGTCATGTATGTTAAACTTCATGTATTTATGTAGTACTTCATGTATGTATGTTGAACTTCAGAACAAGACTCTTTAACGGTCCACTCTCCCATCGCTCTTTACCCCGAGATAAGTTTACAAAAAGAGAGCCAAAAGCACATCGGTAAGTTCAGAGGGGTAATTTATAGTCGCATTTGGTATTATTTTTTTTTGTCATATCACTGCACCGTTAAAATCGGTTAAAACACTCTCCCGCCCAACGATTCCAACGCCGATGCATCTTCCCTGCGGCTTAAGTTCTCTCCCGGGAAGAAGTATCTTCTCCAGCAAAAGGGCCCTTCCCCCCCCCCGATCATGGGGCAGAGTTTTGTGTTTTTATTTTTCGTCTTCTTCTCCTTCCGGCAGTATTCTTCTCGCTTCTGGCAGGAGCTTGGCCGTATGACGTGATAACATAAAAAAAAACAAATTAATAAGTAAAACAAATTGAAAATATTCTACGAAATAAAATTAACTGTACAAAACTAATTCAAACAGAACAACGGGTTAAGTTTGTTGATTAACATTTTTAATCAATCAACCGCAACAGGGCACTTTCGTGGTTCAGCGCATCCCAGGACTGGTTTTGTTTGAAAAACAAAACCCTGTGGCTGGTTTTTGACTTCAACCGATTCTCATTATCGTCAGCAGCAGCAGCAGAATGCTGCGGCCAAGTTTGACCAACGCCAACGAGTGGTCTCATTTAACTTAAACCTGCTGCAGGCTTTGCCCTTGCTTAAAACTTGGGATGCGCCAAACTGGAATTCCCAAAAATCGTTCGACGGATCGAACGGTGTCAACTTCGTTTAGGCAGTAAAACAAAACGCCGTCGGCCTCTCTCTTTTCACGGATCTTGCCGTTGCCCGTAATGATCCGGGGCACCACCGCCGCCTCCGCCGTAATGCTCGTGTACAAAACTAAGCCATCTTGCGCCTCTGCCAACAAAGGCTCAGACACCCAACTACCCCTTTTTCTCACTGGCACATCCGAGCCGAGAGCCAGGACCGGGCCATTATGGTACTGGGGAGGGGGGGGGGAGTGGGGAGACACGGCCTTCCACTGCCTATATTTGCCGTGCCGAGCCGGAACCACCAAACCCGCGACTTGCTGGTCCTCGCAAAGAAGAACATCTGAATCTGGATCCGAGTCCAAGAGAGGACCAGCAGCAGCAGCGGCGGCGGCGGGGGGCGAATAACGCAGGCGGTTTGTTGCGTGCGACATCGGTTGGCTGCATCACCGTCGCGCATCTCGACTCGTCCGTCGCGTGCGACGTGACGGACACGCGGTTCGCTCGCCGCGCCGCCATCGCGCGTCTCGACTCGTCCATCGCAAAGCACCGGCTCGGCTCGGCTGATGCAGTGGAAAAACCAGGCAGCCGCCTTCAGCCGCGCCGCCGGGCTCGCTCAACATTGGCAACGGCGCAGCTCGGTTGTTCAGTGGGAAGGGAAATAAAGTCAGATACGGCGGGGGACTAGATGGGAATGGTGCGAGAGGGGGGCGGGTGGGAGGGGGGGGCGCGGTGGTGGGGAGGGCAGGACAAATCAACGCCCCCACCACGCAGTGGAATGATCCACGTGGCTACCCTCAAGGACTTCAGTGAGCACACGAGACGAGCCTCAACAACATCTGCACTTTTACCCTTGAAAATTACATTTTTGCCCCCCTCCCCCCACCCCGAAAAATAAGTGGCCCATCAGATACTTGAGTGGCCGAGCTGCCAAAAAAGCGTTCCCCATCAAGCGGGGAGGGAAATCCGCGCCTTCCGATGTTGGCAGAACCGTTAAAAACAGGAACTCCAGACACCTTCATTTTTTTTTGCAAGTGGCGTGCGGTCCGCATCCCACGTCGGGCGATTAAAGCGCGGAGCGTGAATGTGTTCGATCCTAGGAATCCTATGTAGCGCAGAAACACTGTTGTCTCGTGGGGATTACTTGTCGTTTAACATTTTTGCCAGGAGCACCTCAGAGAAATGGCTGTGCACGTCAACCCTTTCCCGTTCCGATGACGTACGTCGTCACTGTGTTTTCTTCCGAACGTAACCGGAAGAAAAACTAATAAAAGTAACTTTATCGGTACCGAGGCTCCCACAAGGCCACGCGGGAGGAGCCGTGTGGCTATCGTATAGTGCGACGGTTGTGACGCTACGGTTCCCTGCGGTGACTCGTGTCTTTAAAAACGGCGCTGCTGCGCTTCTCGAAATAAAATTCATGCTGAACTGCTTGCGCTTTCCCGAGATTCAGCGGTGAACGGGTCACCCGCACCCTGCAACTTGCAGACGTCTCGGAACAGGAAAGGGCTAATAACCTGTGCTCCCCCTCCACCCCCACCCGCCCCCCCCCCACCCCAACCCACCCTCCTCAAAAACCTTGCCGAGCGAGCATCAGGAACTTTTCACCGTCTCGGCTTTTTGTCGACTTCGACATCCCGCGCAGACTCTGCTCTTTGTTAACGACGACGGCGACGATTACATCAACGACGTGGACGTCATCGACAACGACGTCGACAACGACGTCATCGACAACGACGCCATCGACAACGACGTCATCGACAACGCTCCCCATGCGATGCCGCGGTACGCGGGCCCCAATTCGGCAAGGGGAGTCACCGCGCATCCCCTGCGATGCGACGAATGCTCTGGTCGTTCCCCGCGATGCTCGCAACGTCGAACAGCGCGGCCCATCGGCAACGGCCTCTCGGGAAAAAATAAAATAAAAACGACATTCGGGCAGTGAAGGTCTAACGGTTCGGTGTCGAACCGACGGACGACCTTGCAAAGGGAAATAAACGACAACAAAAATTGACAACTGTCACAAGTTTTTAAAATGATGCTCTTCTCTCTCGACTAAACTGCCGACGACGCGCCGGGCCGAGTTGACGAGCGCGCGCGTGTAAGGGTCAGGAGGTCACAGGCTGAAGGTCGAAGGTCAGATGCTCGCTTTCCTACCGAATGCAGAAAGGAGGTGGGGGGGGGGGCTATGCTAACCCTGTGCTTGCAAACAGGATTACAGTCTTTGCAAATGTACTGCGTTTATTTCGCGCCGCGCGCGCACGCGCAGTCACCGTTAACGTTCGTCTCCTCCCGCGCGCAAAGTGTTTCCAATAAAAAAAATGCTTCACTTGGCTGACTACAAAGAAGTGATGCTGTGTCCAAGGGGCAGACGACGGACGGGCGGGCAGGGGGGGGGGTAGGGAAAACACACACGCGCGCACGCACGCGCGCACACAAGGACGACGCCGTCCTAAGAATCCAGCCGCTCGCACTCAATGCTCCTTGCACCGCTACCGGGGTGGGTCTGGGGGGCGCCCGCTCCGCCACGCCACGGCGGCGAGCGACATGGGCAACAGCTCGCGGCGCCCAATTACGGCCCGGCATGGCTTAGGGTGGGGCTCGGCACGGCCCTGCGGTTTCCGGCACGACCCGAACAAGTTCTGGTGCGGCGCGTCCGCCTCCCCCGGCGCAGTCCGGAGGGGCCGCCGGCGTTGGATGGCGTCTCGGACGAGGCCCGGAGTTTCCCGGCTCGGCCTCCGGCCCACCCCCGCTTCCTCCATCAACACCACCGCCCCCCCACCGCCCCTCCCGTTAGAAGTCGGCAAACTCTTTGGCGCACTTCTCGGTGGAGGAGATGCGGATCTCCTCCTCCTCGTAGTCGTCGAAGTTGCTGGCGTCGCCGGGGCCCTTGCACTTGGGGATGAAGGGGGCCTCCACCTGGTCGCAAAGAAGGGCCGCACACAACACCGCGGGAGGGGGGGGGGGTCACTCCCTGGGTCGCGCGGTGGGGGCTCGCCGTCGTGGAATTTATCACGGTACAACGGCGACGTGACGTCAATCGAAAAGCAAGCGGCGGTCACGGTGGACATTTTCCCAAGTTTCGAAAATTTACTTAAAAATGACTCAAGAGTGGGATTACACGTAGCTAAAATAATGCTCGCTACCCCTCGCCACCCAATACTAATACTATGGTACCCCGGGGTACCGCCATAAGGTTCAAGTGGCTTATTAATTTAACGCAGTCAAATACTCTCGAAACACGTGATGTTGATTCTAAAAGTGGAGGGAAAAACCGGAGGACCCGGAGCAAAATCCACGCTACGACGGGGAGAGCGAAAACACTTAAGCTCCAAATATACAGCGGGCGTACCAATATCAGGATCGAACCCACGACCTCCTGCATACCAGGCCAGGTAGTCAACATCTCGCCACCACGGCACCCACATTGTTATTACTCAGAGAGGCCAATTGTCGCAACTCGGTTGTATCGGTTGCGCGAGTGGCTCCGAGCCTGGGCCTTAGCCTGGTGTTGGCCGACCGAGTGGCCAGCGAGACGGGGGTACGGGGACGACGACGAAAACGACACCTTGCGCTGGTAGATGGCGATCCAGTCGGTGGTGGAGAACCACTTGTGCCCCTTGATGTCGTTGACGCCGTTCTTGAGGTTTCCGAAGCGCTTGGTGAGGTCCACCTGGAGCAGGTTCCTCAGCACGTCCTTCAGGTCTGAGCTGAAGTGTGAGGGGAATCTCACCTGCGAGCGGGCACAAAGATAAAGATCCCCTGTGTAGCCTTGACAGACAGCGAGTAGCAGCACCTACGAAGGCTGGCACGGCGCACGAGAGGGTGGATATCCAGCACCACGCAGGCCGCCTGTGGCTCCCCAGTGGCAATGTTTACACACCGCTCCAGGTACTCATTTGAGGTTGAGTCGACCTAGGGGAGGCCCAGGACCGGTTCACATAATGGTCACTGGCGTTGGTGCCCGTGAGCGGAAATCGAACTCGGGTCGCCGGGTTCGTCGCGTAGCGCGCTAACTGCTACACTATCATCATGGGATCTCCTTTGCCAGTACCAAAATATGATAATAGGGTTTTTCACCCCTTTTTTCTGGCAACAAAACAGGTGTTAAGATGTTAACAACACTATCACTATGAGACCTCCTTCACCAGTGACAAAATAAAGTAATAGGTTTTTACCCTTTCAACTGGTACAAAAACTGACACCTTTATACAAGGGATCATGTTTGCAATAACCACAACACAAGCAGTCAAAATGCAAACAAAAAGAAACAACTCTGATAATGATGAAATGCACTGTCCTTGAAGTTGATTGGTCCACACCCGAGACAGCTTTTCTTAGAGCCTAGTCTCCATTGGTGTTGGACCAGATGATGCCAAAAGGCGTACAACTCAAAGACAGCGCACTATCAGAGTATTGAGAGCTCGGGGTAAGCATTTTCACTATGAGACCTCCTTTACACCATGCCGGTAATTTACAAGCAGCGCAAGCCAGTCGCTTTTTTCTCCGGGTCCTCCGGTTTTTCCCTCCACATTTAGAAACATGCATTGAGATTATTTTGCTGCTATAAATGTCCAAATGATGGGCCACTTTATTGAGCTATCATTTGTGGCCAGGGCGCTTCTGAAAAATACGTTAATAACCTCAGTGGGCTTTGCCTGGTAGGATGGGGATGGTTTAGTTTTATTTGGTTATGTTTTGGTGATTTAATTAACTTTCTTGTACGACTGTCGTGTTTTTTGTACCGTTTATTGTTGTAACTTTTTTCCCCGCCCCTACTGTGAAAAATAACTTTACAGCTCATCGGATTCCTCGAGTGTAAATAAATATTGTGATTCTGATTCAGCTTTTTCCGTTCGGAGGCGGGACGGCGCAAGGCAACCCAGTGCTCTGAGAGTCGTGGATCACAGGGGGGTCATTGTGTGGATAAGGCTGCCACCTGCTGGGGGCTCAGAGGTTGCTTGGCGTGCAGGGGGGGGCTGCAAGAGGTTAGCGCGCTGCTCTACAAACCCGGCGACCCGAGTTCGATTCCTGCTCCAAGTGCAATAACAGTGGCGAATATTTGAACCAGTCTTGGCCCTCATCCTAAGTCCACTCAGCCTCAAATGTGAGTACCTGGTGCAGTTTGTAAAAATCGCTAAGGGGGAAAAGAAGGCGGCCGGGCATGGTGCTGGCCACCCACCCTCCTCTTGTGTGCCGTGCCGGCCTACATAGCAGCTACTCGCTCACAGCACTTACCAAACAAAGTCTGTTGAGGCTATACTTGGGAGATCTTTGTCTTTGTAGCAGGCAGTACACAGCAAGTGAGCAGTCGATCTAGCCTTCCGACGGATTATTTTCACCGTGCACTCACGGTTTCCATCAATCACAGAGACAAGACAAAGATACCCCCCATTCAGCCTTGACAGACATTTGGGGCAAGTGCTCTTAAGTGAGTAGCACCGATGAAGGCCGGCACGGTTAACGAGGGGGTGGGTGGCCAGCACCACGCCCGGCCGCCTTTGTCTCTACACAGCGGAAACACAGCCTCACTGCAACACAGCGGCAACACAGCATCACTGCAACAAGAGCAGCAACACTGCCCCAATGCAACACAGAAGCAAGAAAGCATCACTGTAACACAGCAGCAACACAGCCTCACTGACACATAGCAGTAACACCGCCGTCGTAGCCACCACCACCATCATCCTCACTGCAACACAGCAGCAACACAGCCTCACTTACACACAGCGGCAACACAGCGTCACTGCAACACAGCGGCAACACAGCGTCACTTACACACAGCAGCAACACAGCCTCACTTACACACAGCCTCACTTACACACAGCGTCACTTACACACAGCCGCAACACAGCGTCACTGACACACAGCGGCAACACAGCGTCACTTACACACAGCCTCACTTACACACAGCGTCACTTACACACAGCGTCACTTACACACAGCCGCAACACAGCGTCACTGACACACAGCGGCAACACAGCGTCACTTACACACAGCCTCACTTACACACAGCCGCAACACAGCGTCACTTACACACAGCGGCAACACAGCGTCACTTACACACAGCCTCACTTACACACAGCCGCAACACAGCGTCACTTACACACAGCAGCAACACAGCCTCACTTACACACAGCCGCAACACAGCGTCACTTACACACAGCAGCAACACAGCCTCACTTACACACAGCGGTAACACAGCGTCACTTACACACAGCCGCAACACAGCGTCACTTACACACAGCCGCAACACAGCGTCACTTACACACAGCCGCAACACAGCCTCACTTACACACAGCAGCAACACAGCCTCACTTACACACAGCCGCAACACAGCGTCACTTACACACAGCCGCAACACAGCGTCACTTACACACAGCCGCAACACAGCGTCACTTACACACAGCCGCAACACAGCGTCACTTACACACAGCCGCAACACAGCCTCACTTACACACAGCAGCAACACAGCGTCACTTACACACAGCCGCAACACAGCGTCACTTACACACAGCCGCAACACAGCGTCACTTACACACAGCCGCAACACAGCGTCACTTACACACAGCAGCAACACAGCCTCACTTACACACAGCCGCAACACAGCGTCACTTACACACAGCCGCAACACAGCGTCACTTACACACAGCCGCAACACAGCGTCACTTACACACAGCCGCAACACAGCCTCACTTACACACAGCAGCAACACAGCCTCACTTACACACAGCCGCAACACAGCGTCACTTACACACAGCCGCAACACAGCGTCACTTACACACAGCCGCAACACAGCGTCACTTACACACAGCCGCAACACAGCCTCACTTACACACAGCAGCAACACAGCGTCACTTACACACAGCAGCAACACAGCCTCACTTACACACAGCAGCAACACAGCGTCACTTACACACAGCCGCAACACAGCGTCACTTACACACAGCCGCAACACAGCGTCACTTACACACAGCCGCAACACAGCCTCACTTACACACAGCAGCAACACAGCCTCACTTACACACAGCAGCAACACAGCGTCACTTACACACAGCAACAACACAGCGTCACTTACACACAGCCTCACTTACACACAGCCGCAACACAGCGTCACTTACACACAGCGGCAACACAGCGTCACTTACACACAGCCGCAACACAGCCTCACTTACACACAGCCTCACTTACACACAGCGGCAACACAGCCTCACTGACACACAGCCGCAACACAGCCTCACTTACACACAGCCTCACTTACACACAGCCGCAACACAGCGTCACTTACACACAGCGGCAACACAGCGTCACTTACACACAGCCGCAACACAGCCTCACTTACACACAGCCTCACTTACACACAGCCGCAACACAGCCTCACTTACACACAGCCTCACTTACACACAGCCGCAACACAGCGTCACTTACACACAGCGGCAACACAGCGTCACTTACACACAGCAGCAACACAGCCTCACTTACACACAGCCGCAACACAGCCTCACTTACACACAGCCGCAACACAGCGTCACTTACACACAGCGGCAACACAGCGTCACTTACACACAGCGGCAACACAGCGTCACTTACACACAGCGGTAACACAGCCTCACTTACACACAGCGGCAACACAGCGTCACTTACACACAGCGGTAACACAGCCTCACTTACACACAGCGGCAACACAGCGTCACTTACACACAGCGGTAACACAGCCTCACTTACACACAGCCGCAACACAGCGTCACTTACACACAGCAGCAACACAGCCTCACTGACACACAGCGGCAACACAGCGTCACTTACACACAGCGGTAACACAGCCTCACTTACACACAGCCGCAACACAGCGTCACTTACACACAGCCGCAACACAGCGTCACTTACACACAGCGGCAACACAGCGTCACTTACACACAGCCGCAACACAGCGTCACTTACACACAGCGGCAACACAGCGTCACTTACACACAGCAGCAACACAGCGTCACTTACACACAGCGGCAACACAGCGTCACTTACACACAGCGGCAACACAGCGTCACTTACACACAGCGGCAACACAGCGTCACTTACACACAGCGGCAACACAGCGTCACTTACACACAGCGGCAACACAGCGTCACTTACACACAGCAGCAACACAGCGTCACTTACACACAGCGGTAACACAGCGTCACTTACACACAGCGGTAACACAGCGTCACTTACACACAGCAGCAACACAGCGTCACTTACACACAGCAGCAACACAGCGTCACTTACACACAGCGGCAACACAGCCTCACTTACACACAGCGGCAACACAGCGTCACTTACACACAGCAGCAACACAGCGTCACTTACACACAGCGTCACTTACACACAGCGGTAACACAGCGTCACTTACACACAGCGGTAACACAGCGTCACTTACACACAGCAGCAACACAGCGTCACTTACACACAGCGGCAACACAGCGTCACTGACACACAGCGGCAACACAGCGTCACTGACACACAGCGGTAACACAGCGTCACTTACACACAGCCGCAACACAGCGTCACTTACACACAGCGGTAACACAGCGTCACTTACACACAGCGTCACTGACACACAGCGGCAACACAGCCTCACTTACACACAGCAGCAACACAGCCTCACTTACACACAGCGGCAACACAGCCTCACTTACACACAGCGGTAACACAGCGTCACTTACACACAGCGGCAACACAGCCTCACTTACACAC